GGGCGGTACTCAAACTTCCAAAGGGCTATAACTTTGTTACTTTAATTTTACCAGAAAAATGGTAAAGGAAAAAACCATTTCTTTTGATCAGATCTAGTCACTGTTAAAATAAATGACTCAACTTCGAAGTCACCCTGTATATTGTAGACTCATTTATTTGGGGCTCTGATGTAACACTGTTTGTCAACGTTTGACAGCTCTTAATATGTACGAGGGTTGTCTCAAAAATTAGATTCCCAACACTTGAAAAATTTGGTAATTTTGAAAATCTCGCAAATAATGGAAGTTTGTAAAAAATTTCAACATTTTCAAAACCTTCAAAATTTCAAAGATTTTCGGTTTTCAAGATTTCCATGATTTTTAAAATTATGAAAATGTTGAATCTAAAATATATGAATTATAAAACTTTTGAATATTTTCGAAATCTGCACCATTTTTGAACGATCACAAATGTAAAAAATTTCAAAGTTTTTAAACTCTCAAAATGTTCAAGGTTTTCAAGATTTTCAAAATTTTCAATTTCCGAAATTTTAAATACCCTGTACAGTTATGAAAATACTGGAAATTTCGGTGATTTAAAAGTTTAAGAAATTTTGGAAACTTGAAAACTTTAGTAATTTTGAAGATCGAGTAAATTTTGGAAGTTTGCAACGCCTACTTGAAAAAAAAATCAGGAAAAACATTTTTCCTTATAACCAAGAAAATAAATTTAACATCGTTGAAAAAGTGGATTTCACGTCTAAAGAAATGCTTAGAAAAAAATGGCGTCTATGGAGAAAAATAGCTTAAAGATCAACGTTTCCAACATTTCCAAAACCTTCAAAATTTCAAAGATTTTCGGTTTTCAAGATTTCCATGATTTTTAAAATTATGAAAATGTTGATTTTGAAGATTCTAAAATATTGAAAATTTAAATTTCTTGAAAATTTTCGAAATCTGCACCATTTCGAAACTCTCAAAATCTTCAAGATTTTCAGGATTTTAAAAATTTTCAGTTTCCGAAATTTTAAATACCCTGTACAGTTGTGAAAATACTGGAAATTTCGGTCATTTAAAAGTTTAAGAAATTTTGGAAACTTGAAAACTTTAGTAATTTTGAAGATCGAGTAAATTTTGGAAGTTTGCAACGCCTACTTGAAAAAAAAATCAGGAAAAACATTTTTCCTTATAACCAAGAAAATAAATTTAACATCGTTGAAAAAGTGGATTTCACGTCAAAAAATGCGTATAAAATATATAAAATTTAAATGTCTTGAAAATTTTCGAAATCTGCACCATTTTTGACATTTCGAAAATTTTCAGAACGATGACAAATGCAAAAAATTTCGAAACTCTCAAAATGTTCAAGATTTTCAAGATTTTAAAAATTTTCAGTTTCCAAAATTTTAAATACCATGTACAGTTATGAAAATACTGGAAATTTCGGACATTTAGAAATTTAAGAAATTTTGGAAACTTGACAACTTTAGTAATTTTGAAGATCGAGTAAATTTTGGAAGTTTGCAACGCCTACTTGAAAAAAAATCAGGAAAAACATTTTTCCTTATAACCAAGAAAATAAATTTAACATCGTTGAAAAAGTGGATTTCACGTCTAAAAAATGCGTATAAAATATATAAAATTTAAAATTCTTGAAAATTTTCGAAATCTGCACCATTTTTGACATTTCGAAAATTTTCAGATTTTCAAAATTTTCAGAACGATCACAAATGTAAAAAATTCCAAAGTTTTCGAAACTCTCAAAATGTTCAAGGTTTTCAAGATTTTCAAAATTTTGAATTTTCGAAATTTTAAATACCCTGTACAGTTATGAAAATACTGGAAATTTCGGTGATTTAAAAGTTTAAGAAATTTTGGAAACTTGAAAACTTTAGTAATTTTGAAGATCGAGTAAATTTTGGAAGTTTGCAACGCCTACTTGAAAAAAAAATCAGGAAAAACATGTTTCCTTATAACCAAGAAAATAAATTTAACATTGTTGAAAAAGTGGATTTCACGTCTAAAAAAATGCTTAGAAAAAATGGCGTCTATGGAGAAAAATAGCTTAAAGATCAACGTTTCCAAAATTTTCAAAACCTTCAAAATTTCAAAGATTTTCGGTTTTCAAGATTTCCATGATTTTTAAAATCATGAAAATGTTGATTTTGGAGATTCTAAAATATTGAAAATTTAAAATTTTTGAAAATTCCCAAAATCTGCACCATTTTTGAGATTTCGAAAATTTTCAGATCTATCACAAATGTAAAAAATTTCAAAGTTTTAAAACTCACAAAATGTTGAAGGTTTTCAAGATTTTCAAAATTTTCAGTTTCCAATATTTTAAATACCCTGTTATGAAAATACTGGAAATTTCGGACATTTAAAAATTTAAGAAATTTTGGAAACTTAAAAACTTCAGTAATTTTGAAAATCGTGCAATTTTTGGAAGTTTGTCAAAGTTTGTTTGCAACATCTACTTGAAAAAAATAAAAAAATCAGGAAAAAGCATTTTTCCTTATAACCAAGAAAATAAATGTAACATCGTTGAAAAAGTGGATTTCACGTTTAAAAAAATGCGTGGAAAAAAATGGCGTCTATGGAGAAAAATAGCTTAAAGATCAACGTTTTCAACATTTTCAAAACCTTCAAAATCTTGGGTTTTCAAGATTTCCATGATTTTTAAAATTAAGAAAATGTTGATTTTGAAGATTCTAAAATATTGAAAATTTAAAATTCTTGAAAATTTTCGAAATCTGCACTATTTTTGACATTTCGAAAATTTCCAGACCGATGACAAATGCAAAAAATTTCGAAACTCTCAAAATGTTCAAGATTTTCAAGATATTAAAAATTTTCAGTTTCCACAATTTTAAATACCATGTACAGTTATGAAAATACTGGAAATTTCGGACATTTAAAAATTTAAGAAATTTTGAAAACCTGAAAAGTTTAGTAATTTTGAGAATCGTGTAAATTTTGGAAGTTTATCAAAGTTTGATTGCAGCGCCCACTTGAAAAAAAAAATCATGAAAAAGCATTTTTCCTTATAACAAAGAAAATAAATATAACATCGTTGAAAAAGTGGATTTCACGTCTAAAAAATGCGTATAAAGTATATAAAATTTAAATTTCTTGAAAATTTTCGAAATCTACACCATTTTTGACATTTCGAAAATTTTCAGAACGATGACAAATGCAAAAAATTTCGAAACTCTCAAAATGTTCAAGATTTTAAAAATTTTCAGTTTCCAAAATTTTAAATAGCATGTACAGTTATGAAAATACTGGAAATTTCGGACATTTAGAAATTTAAGAAATTTTGGAAAATTGAAAAGTTTAGTAATTTTGAAAATCGAGTAAATTTTGGAAGTTTGACAAAGTTCGTTTGCAACGCCTACTTGAAAAAAAAATAAAAAATCAGGATAAAGCATTTTTCCTTATAACCAAGAAAATAAACGTAACATCGTTGAAAAAGTGGATTTCACGTCTAAAAAAATGCGCAGACAAATGGCGTCTATGGAGAAAAATAGCTTAAAGATCAACGTTTCCAATGGTGATTTCATCTTTTCAAATAAAAAATTCCTTGTGCTTGAAAACAATGTGGGAACCTTATTTTTGTAACAACCCTAGTACTTATATTCCTTACTGTAACGAAAACACCGGTTTTAAATTTCGATTAATTACCCTCACACTATACAACGCAATTAATTTATCACAAATTTATGACCAAGTCGACTGGACTATCGCGTTGCGCGCTGCTGACTCATCGTCGACTCTCCTCTGACTGACTGCTTATGCCCTCTGTGCGTGTATTTATTTGCTGAATCGACGGTTCCCGATCCACTCCCGCGTTTTTCAGATCGAACCCGATTCCTCTTCGAAATTGTGTCGAAAATTATCGATGCGCGGTCAACATTCCAGACGAGCGGCGCAACTGTGGTTGCCTGTGTCGATAATATTTCCTCACGTAACTTCATCAAATTCCAATCCAAGCATAATGCTCGCATGTATAGATGATATCGCACCCCGCTTCAACACGTCGTCTGCTACCTGCTTTTATAGGTCCACCCGGATTCAGTACCAGACATGCAATATTTACACGCCGTGGCGAACGAGAAGTGCGACCGATAGGTACCCGATACGCCTACTAAAAATATATGCTAAACTGATCTGGATACCTTTTGTTGGGAATACTAATTGATTACTAGCTGATAGTCTTTTTGTTTTTTTTATCTATGCATTCCCGTGGACTACACCAGCGTTGCCACATTTGTCCGTATTCTCACACCTCACATCCTTGTTATCCGTGAGAGCTGAAATTGATTAAATACTTTGATAAGGAAACAATTATGCTAGTGTATTGGAAGGTATTTAGAAAATTTAATATCCTAATGATACATCAAGGCTGCATATTCCCTAGACGTCGTAGTTGCATAATTAATCGATGTTTATTCATTACTCAATAGCTACCGATTGCTAGATTACGTTTGATTGACAAGATACCTAACTTGTATGAATATGCTTGACAGTTTATGTCATACCAATCGCAGGATTCGTTTCTTGAAAACGATAGAGCGGAATAAAAGTCTCTAACACCGCTTAGAATTTCCGTGTAGCTGAAAAGTCTCCGAGCCACATTTGATCAATTTGAAGTTGGCATAATTCGATTGTCTTAGCAGTATACTACTATTCGTCAAGTAGATTGACTCAATTCTTACCTTTTAGGTAGTAGTAGATTTTGAAAATTGATACAGGAGCCGCGGACTCACCCATTTGAAAGCTCCAACGGAGGCAGATAGCAATGTACTTGATGCCATTTTTCAATCAATACTAAGATACGCCACACGATCTGCAACATGTAGCCCGCAACTTATTTAAATGGAAACCTACCTCTACATTAACACTGAGTCACAATCGGTTCCTAATCAAAAGCACCCGTTCCTCGAAACTATGCTATCTCTATAATCAGCTATAAGAACAATTTAAAATTAATTGAGTTTTCATTGTAATATAGCGGGAAATGGTAGTCGCCGGTATCCAGTTCGTGAAGTGAAAAGTTCATTAATAGTGTGGGATTACGTGAATATGACGCGACTGGCTCTTAATGAGATTTAGTCGAGGCAGCCTTGACCTTTTGTTTCGGTGCTCGATTGTTAAGTCGAAAGTTGAACCTACACGCGTAAGACGAAAATAGGCAAGTGCATTCTGGCATTTGCTGTGACAATGAGGTGTCTGGTATGTTGAAATTATGTAGCCGGTTACCTGTTTACTTAACAGGAAGTACTTTCACAACTATTAATCAAGGAACGAAATTGGCAGTGCACGATATGTCCAATGTTCCGCTTTGTAAATTTAACATTTTCTTGTAAAGAATCTTTATTATTGTTAGAAGTAGCTTTTAAGCTAAATAAATCCTGTTCTAAAAAAAAAATTGACAAACTTTATTTTGTTGTTACCGTACTTGTACTAAAGTAGAGAATACTGGCTTGTGAAAGAAATCATCCAAAACAAAACAAGGTCATCTTACAAAAACATAATCCGACGTTTTGGTTACAGTTTCAAAGAAATATCTATCAATATGGGGGTTCAAAACAAGTCAAACAGTTTTTATAATCTAATCTAAAACGCTATTAAATTGGGTAATTAACAAATAAATGGCATTAAGTTTCTCTAAGTTATGCCAAAATTTGTAGTCAGTAAGTTTCATTAGATCAAATATTTAAAACACACAAGACAACAGCGCGTCGGTCTTTCCTCACTCTTATCGAACCGGCAATCGATCGCAAACGGTAACAATGGTTAGTATGTTGTTTTGTTTTTGTTCGCGTACGTCAACTCTAGAGTAAGAAGACATTGGGTTCGTTGTAATGAAGCTTGTGTGGAAAGTGGAGCCCAAAAGATTAAATTATTTCACCTTAAATTTTGCATAGGACCCTTTCTTAGACACACTGATCCTAAGTCACTGGGATCCGTTTTGATCTTCTGATACACCTTGCGATGCTTTATATTACTTGCACAGGAAATATAACATCTAATACATGCTACGAGTACTGTAAACTGTACATTAACCGCAAATACGCATTCACACAATGAACTTGACGTATAAGGAAACGTACATAATAATCACCGAATCAACCGCATGTCAATGCGTGTGTGAGCAGGTGTAGATTACGTTACCAAACATATGAATATCGTCTGTATTGGTACTACTACTTGTTAGGTGGATTGTGGTACCAACTGATGAAGTGCTCATTTTTGATAACGGTACCTTCGTATCCATACCATATGTTATGGTGTGCAATTTATAACACATTTGTTTGTGCGGTAGGTTTTTATAACTGTAGAGCAATCAAGGTCTTATTTTTAGGGCTATTATTAATGTGTTTTGTCCATTGTCAATTATTTCAAGATTTTCAGTTTTAAAAATTTTCAAAATCCTGAAAATTTTGAATAAACAAAATTTTTAAATTTCGAAAGTTATGAAAAATCGGGAAATTCCGGAAATAAAGATTTAGAAAATTTTGGAAATTTTTATATCGCGTAATTATGGAGGTTTGTCAAAATTTAAAACTTTTTAAATTTTTCATTTTAAATGAATTTCAAAAATTTTCAAATCCTGAAAATTTTGAATATCTACTAATTTATAAATTTCAAAAGTTATGAAAATTATGGAAATTTCATAAATGGCTATTTTGACAGTCGCGTAAATTATGGAAGTTTTTACAAAATTTCAACTTCTTCAAAAGTCAAAATTTTCAAGATTTTCAATTTTTAAGATTCTTAAAATTTTGAAACATTAGAAAATTTGAATATTCTGTAAATTTTTAATTTGCGAAAATTATGAAAAATCTGGAAATTCCGGAAATAAAAATTTAGAAAATTTTGGAAATTTGAAAATGGTATTTTTGAAAATCGCGTAAAATTATGGAATTTCAAAAAATATGGAAAATCTGGAAATTTGAAAACTAGCTGTTTTGAAAATTGTGTAAATTATGGAAGTTTTTCAAAAATTTCAACATCTTCAAAACTCAAAATTTTTTAGATTTTCGGATTTTAAGAAAATTTTGTAATCGTGAAAATTATTAATACCGTGTAAATTTTGAATTTTCTAAAATTATGAAAAATCTAGAAATTCCGGAAATTAAAAATATTGAAATTTTGAAAGTATTGATATTTAAAAAAAAATTAAGGATTTTAAGTTTTTATTATTTTAAAAATTTTTAAAATCCTGAAAATTTTGAATACTCTAAATTTGGATATTTCTAAAGTTATGCAAAATCTGGAAATTTGAAAACGTTGGTTATTTTGAAAATAACGAAAAATTATGAAAGTTTATCATAAATTTCGAGACCTTCGGTTTTTAAGATTTTTAAAGTTTTGAAATCGTGCACATTTTGAATTTGCGAATGTTATGAAAAATCTAGAAATTCTGGAAATTGAATATTTTGGAAATTTGATAACAGTTCCAACTCAAAATTTTTTAGATTTTCTGTTTTTAAGATATTCAAAATTTTGAAATCTTGAAAATTGTGAATACTCTGTAAATTTTGAAAATGCGAACGTTATGAAAAATCGGGAAATTCCGGAAATAAAGATTTAGAAAATTTTGGAAATTTTTATTTCGCGTAATTATGGAGGTTTGTCAAAATTTCAAACTTTATAAATTTTTCATTTTAAATGATTTTCAAAAATTTTCAAATCCTGAAAATTTTTAATACTAATTTTTAAATTTCGAAAGTTATGGAAATTATGGAAATTTCATAAGTGGCTATTTTGACAATCGCGTAAATTATGGAAGTTTTTCCAAAATTTCAACTTCTTCAAAACTCAAGATTTTCAATTTTTAAGATTCTTAAAATTTCGAAATAGAAATTTTGATTACTCTGTAAATTTTGAATTTGCTAAAGTTATGAAAATTCTAGAAATTCCGGAAATAAAAATTTAGAAAATTTTGGAAATTTGAAATGGTATTTTTGAAAATCGCGTAATTATGGAATATAATTGAATACTCAAAATTTTACAATTTCGAAAGTTATGAAAAATCTGGAAATTTGGAAACTGGCTGTTTTGAAAATTGTGTAAATTATGGAAGTTTGTCAAAAATTTCAACATCTTCAAAACTCCAAAATTTTTAGATTTTCGGATTTTAAGATCTTTAAATTTTGAAATCGTGAAAATTTTTAACACCGTGTAAATTTTGAATTTTCTAAAATTAAAAAAAATCTAGAAATTCCGGAAATTAAAAATATTGAAATTTTGAAAGTGTTGATATTTAAAAAAAAATTAAAGAAATTAAGTTTTTATGATTTTAAAAATTTTTAAAATCCTGAAAATTTTGAATACTCTAAATTTGGATATTTCTAAAGTTATGCAAAATCTGGAAATTTGAAAACGTTGGTTATTATGAAAATAACGAAAAATTATGAAAGTTTATCATAAATTTCAAGATCTTCAAAAATCAAAATTTTCAAGATTTCCAGTTTTCAAGATTTTCAAAATCTTCAAGATTCTCAGTTTCCAAGATTTTCAAAATTTTGAAATCGTGAAAATTTTGAATTGAAAATGAAAATGGGAAAGTTTTGAAAAATCTGGAAATCCAGGAAATTAGAAATATAGAGAATTTTGGAAATTTGAAAATTTTGGTAATTATGAAAATTGCGCAATTATTGAGGTTTGTCAAGTTCTTAAAATTCTTAAAATTTTGAATACTCTGTAAATTTTGAAATTTCGAAAGTTATGAAAATTTCGAAAATTTGGGAAATTAAAAATTTATAAAACATCGGTTATTTTGAACACCACGTAAATTATGGAAGTCTGTCAAAAATTTCAACATTTTTAAAGTTTTCAATTTTCATGATTTTCAAAATTTTGAATACTCTGTAAATTTTGAAATTTCGAAAGTTATGAAAATTTCGAAAATTTGGGAAATTAAAAGTTTATAAAACATCGGTTATTTTGAACATCACGTAAATTATAGAAGTTTGTCAAAAATATCAACATTTTTAAAATTTTCAATTTTCATGATTTTCAAAATTTTGAATACTAGTAATTGAATACTACTAATTTTGAAATTCCGAAAGGTATGACAAGTCATTTCCTGAATGGGCCTTGGATTCGATTTTAGCGACCCAAAAAACGTATTATAAGGATGGTCGGACCCACGTTCTAACTACATAGTTACTAGAAATTAGAATACTTAAATGTGATAAATGACCTCTATTGCACCTTCTTTGTGTCGCTAAAAACTAATCCTAAGTCTTTTCAATTATATCTGATCCCTTTTTTTTGGTTTGTGTCTACAGATAGGCCTCACGAATATCGCTGCGTTGTGATATCCGTCTATACCTTGTCCATCTACCTCAAAGTCCATACATGACTAGTCCCACTTAAGCCAGATCTAACTGGTCCAATTATTCAAAGAACCCGACACCTGGTAATCTCTAAAAATTATCCTAGCATTACAAGCTTCTGTAAAAACAGTATCGGCGATTTCCGCATACTTAACGTTTCTGAAAAATGATCATTCGAAGAAGTGATACGATCTGAATTAAGTTTTATTTAACATATTCAAACGCCAAATCACCTCACTTCATCCATCATCGAATTTCCGTTATACGTTCCTATTTAAATCATCGAAATATAGCGAGAAAGTATACAGAATAAAGTAGTAGGGTCCCTTTGAGGCATGTCAACTTGCAGAAGGCAAACTATTTTGATTTTGTTCTGTTTTTGTTCAAAAAGTCACTTGACTGAAAGCGTTTTAAGAAATTATTGACTTCAGGATTAGATTAAGAATGAGAATATACAAGATTGCCTAATTTGTTATAACGTGAAATAACTTTGCGCAGTCTCTATACTTCGGTACCACGCGGGCATTCCTGAATAGTCAACATCAATAAAATCAGATGATGAAGACATGATTTAAATTCGTACACGTACTAGGCACTTGACGTAAGGTAATTAACGTTTTTTTCTTCACCGGCGGCGTCTGCCGACTGCGGACTTTCCCTAGAGGTCACTCACTGTATGCGATGTGTCTTTTGTCATCTTCATTTGCTGCTGCTGCTGACTGCAATTCATTAGAAGAAAGGTATTTATAGTGTGGTCATTGTCTCAGAAGTGGTCTCCACCTGTCATCCTGTCAATAAACTGTTTTGCAGTTGTTGCATTGTTTTCTCTGCAAGACAGTTGCATATTATCGACATACCCAAGGGATTAAAAACAATCCGTGCAAA